AGATAACACCTAGACAACTCATTGAACGTGGAGAAGTAGAGCTGGTGCCTACATAGGGTTTTCATCTCTAGTTGTAGTATCTTTGGTCTGGGAAGGTTCTCTGCATGGGAGAAACATAAACACCAAGCTAACCACAAACCCTTTGATCTACAAGATGTTTGGGCAATGTTGGCATGAAGCTTGTAGGAGTAACCAACCAATATCTGATTTGACTTAAGGTCCACTCCATGAAATAGATAGAACCCATACTTGACACTGCTTGGATGACCAAGAACCAGAGACTAGACAGCCAATGCTTGAGGGTAAAACCAAATACCATTGCTCTACAAACAAAAAACAAACACCAGTAATAAAAGATATCCCTTAACAATAAAATGACTACTAATCACATCCCTTTACACTCATACATCAATGCCTTGCTTAACCATCTTCCAAGAAGCTTCCTTCCGCAGCAGATGGGAACAAATACGGAGACCCACAGTGAAAAAATTATGCAGAGAGTGGTGAGAGTCCTTGGAACACTCATCCCTAAATGGGATGCCTTTGTCAAATCCCTGGTCTCAGAGCTTAAGGAATGCCAAGGAAGGGGAGGCAGAATGAGTGTAAGAGCCAGAGGGTAAGGGGGACACTAAGAAAATAGACCTCCAAGTCAACATGATCAAAGCTTGTATGAACTCAACTAGATGGAGGCAGTGGCATATGTAGGGCCTGCTCTGGTCTCTTCCAGGTCTTCCTTGTATATATTACGGCTTCTGGATTAATTTTTTTATGGAATTCTTTTTTAATTTTAATTAATTAACTAACTAATCAAGACAGGGTTTCTTTGTCAGGGTTTCTTGGTGTAGCCCTGGATGTGCTGGTACTTACTCTATAGAACAAGCTAGCCTGGAACTCAGAGATCTGCTCATCTCTACATCCCTCTGACATGCTGGCATTAAAGGAGGCCTATGCCATGGCTGTTCACCTTCTTATGGGGTTCTTGAGTATGAAGGAATGGGTCTCTGATTCTTTTGCCTTCTCTTGGGTTCTATTCCTTCTTTTGGGCTGTCTTGTCCAATTCCAATGTGTTAGTTTTGTTTTATCTTATTATAAGTTTATTATTACTCTTTAGAAGCCTGTTTGTTTTCTGAGGCAAGAGGGGGAAGTGGGGAGGATAGAGGGAGGGGAAACTGTAATCAGGATATTTTATATGAGGGGGGAATCTATTTTTAATAAAAGAAATAATGGAAAGTTCATTCCTTGCATTTGTCGTGATTTAATTTTCCTTTCCAAGGGTAGAAGCAATTTTGTAGTCTGGGAGCTGATGAAGATAAACACCACTGTGTGTTCATGATAATCCGTCTTAATGATGTGGCCCTGGAAAAGCTTTTCTTATGCTCTATGAACTTCACACAGGGCTGCATGCCTACCCTCTTTCACAAGAATATTTTCCCTTGCCAAGAGAAATGGAAGAGAGGCAAACATAATATACAAAATGATGGGTCTGCTGACCTCTGGATTAGTGGCAAAAGTGAGGTGGTATTTACTGGTTTTTCTTCTTAATGAATGGGTGGAATTCAAAGCCACCACAAGTAAGATGGTGTAAACTTATTCCTTACCAACGTGGTTTTTTACTTTGGTTTTAAAATTCCACTGGATTATAAGCAGCTTTAGAAAACTTAAAAACCCTAAAGCAGCACATTTTTAAAATGATGTAATTTTGTAAGCCTCTTTCAACTCATTCTCCACTAATTATCCAACTGAGTGTTTAAGAACTATTTCAAACTTAAAAACTCAACAGAGAAACCTTTATCTTATTATTCTTTACTAGCATCTTTATACCCTTCTAGCATACAGATGTTTAAGGGATTAATCTGCTTCAATCCTTTAGCTATGGTTTATTGAAATTTCCTCTCTGGATTACAAAATAATCATTTGAGTCCAAATACTGTCCATAATCTGTAATTTTTCTATAATACTTACCTTTAATTTTTTTTTTAACTTTTGCTATAGTTTGGTTTGCTGTTCAAGATGTAGCTCTAGGTTTCTTGATATATTTTCAGCCATTGCTTGGTGTTACTTACTTGTTATTTTAACAACATTCCTTTGGGGATATGAGAGATGACTCAGCAGATACCAGCACTAGCTGTTCTTCCAGAAGACCTGGATTTGTTTCCCAGAACCCACATGCAACTTAAAATTGTTTGTGACTTCAATTCCAGGGTGTCCAATACCTTGTTTCTTCAGGCACTAGGAAGACAACAGCATTTGCATTCATTGGAGGCATGTACATTCTCATGCACAAAGAAAAAAGTATCTTACAATAAAAAACAAACAAACAAAAAACAAACAAACAAGCAACCCCCCCAAAAAAAACCTTTTAATTGGGCTAAACAGTGTCCTATCACAAAGGGGGTGGGACTCTACACTTCCCTGACTAAGGATTCACATGTGGCTAACAGTAGAAGAAGAGGAATTTTGCTTGGTGTTGTAGCTAGCAGTGTGGTGTCTGAGTTCCTGTAAAATTATCCTCACCTGTGCTCTGGAAACTAACCTTAGTGAAGTTTCTTGGGTTCCACACATGCACAGAAGTCATGCATATACAAGATAGGTGACTGAAAGGGGATTGGCAGGAGTGGGGAGGGTAGGAGATTTGAATGAGGGGGGTGGCTGTTACCAAAATCCATTTGGAAGGGAAAAAATGACCCAGAAACCCATTATTTTATATAGTTGATATATGCCAATAAACACCTCAAGAATACTCTTTTACAATCTTTTTTGGGCAATTACAGGGAACATTCCAGGGTTCATATTTTTAAAAAATTACAATCATGCAGAATAATAAATGACATACATATAAACATGCACAGTAATATCAACATAAAAATGAGTTTATGGAAAATTTCAAGTCCCTAGTATTTCACATCTTCAGTTCTACTGTGTCACCTGAAGTTCATTATCCTCTTTTTTCTCCCACAATATTATGTTAGTAGTTCTTAGTTTCAAAAATGTCATCAGGTGGCATTATATGAATCTCCCATGTCATCTGCAAAGCTATAGTTCACTTTTCTTATTGTCCTTGAGGATCCTTTGGTCTTATTATTATCCACATTTACAAAATTTTTACCTTGCTTGTGGACATATGTTTTATTTTCAGAATTTGTCATACATGTAATATTCCAATGAATGTTGGATTTTTAATTTAAAAAAATTAGAGAAATGTGTCTTACTTAGTTTTTTAAAAGTTAATTTTTAATTTATGCTCATTTATGTTTTGTCTGTATTTATAGCTGTGTGAGGGTGTTGGAAACCCTGGAACTAGAGTTAGAGACAGCTGTGAGCTGCCATATGGGTGCTGGGAATCAAACCCCAGGTCCTCTGGATGAGCAACCAGTGCTCTTAATGATTGAGTCATCTCTCTAATTACCTTTTACTTACCTTTTAATTTGCTCAAAACTTTCATAGGATATATTGAATACCAGTAAAATTTGATACTAGTTTATTGTGAGTTAATATAGACTATACAATTATTGAATTCTATCAAATACATGCAGAGGAAACATTTTATAATATCTGGCTTCAAGATACAAAAGGACTTTGTTCACTAAGGGAAAGCCAACTGTGTATTAGACATTAAAACCATGATAAAGTATGTAGTAAAGAAAATGAAGTGATTGAACATAAAGTTTTAAAGAGTGATATTAACTTATCTTTCTTTAATTGATTTCTGAGTGTCAATAAAAAAGCTTAACTGTCAACATCTGATTTTAAAAAAATCTCTGATTGGTAATTGCCATTGCTCTTGTTGTCGCCGGGACTTGATGGATAAGACCCTATTGCTGAAAGATACTGTACACTTTGAAAACAGACATGGAGAAGGCAAGTTGGTACCATTAAGAAGCTTCCTTCTTGATGGTTGGCTTTCATTCTATGAGAGTAATATGTGTGTAGGCTGCTGAGAGAAAAGTTCGTCACCAGTCTCACCCAGTTGTGAGCCCCATGAGCTATAATAATGACATGCAGCACAAAATATACCCATGAATACAAAAGTGGCATGTATGTTATGAGGAAAAGCAACCTGATCAGATTTAATACCTGTTCGACAGTGAGAAACACATGTTTGGTACCATAAATCTGTCGAAGAACCCATGGTTGGAGGGCTCGCAGGCCCCAGGGGTGAATCTGCTACTATTATTCTGCCAAATGGACTTAGAATCAGACTGCCCTTTTATTCATTTCTATCTACCCATAGACTAGTCTAGCTCTTGGACCTCATCAGACAAGTTTCTTTGTGCAGTGAATGGCTGTTATTGCAGCATCTTACAAGAGGTCAAGGTACAGAGAATAAATGTTAGTGGAGAGTACTTAGCCACCAGTGGGACTCTATCACCCTACTCCATAGCTGAGGGACCTTGCAGAGGAGAGGGGGGAAAGATCATAAGAGGTTAGGGAGTGCTGGAACAAAACAGTGTCTTCTCGACATGATAGGATATTTGTACTCACAAGCTCATGGCAGTTGTGGTTTTCTGTGCGAGTTTTTCTGAAGACCAAGTCAGTCAACATGCCTGTAAGGAGAAAGGAAATATGAGCACCCACTCCTAACTGAGAAGCTATTGACAGCTGGTGGCTTCTGTGGGGAGGGAGAGATAAGTGTGTGTCCCAGTAAGTGGACCGTACTCTAGTGGATGGTCCCACACCCATGGTTATATGGACAGCACAAACTGGTCTCAGTGGGGATTCAAAAATCAGAGGACATGAAATGGGGGTGGAGTGGGGAGAGAGGGGTAGACTGGGAGGAGTTGGGATAAACTTTATAATATATTGAATGAAATTTGCAAATAATTGTCAAAAATTATCAAATAAGTATTAAAATTTAAAAATCATACCTAAAACGTAAGTCTGATGGCCAGTGTGTTGTTTCTATAGTTGTTTTCCTAGAGACTATACATGGTTTAGGATATGCACCTGCCTGCCCTAAATTATCAGCAATAAAATGTAACTTAAATCTTTTTCTTCTTTAGGATGTCATGGGTCTTCAAACCAGTTCCATCAATGAAACACGGACTTTACTGGAGCTGAGAGTGAGTGTGAAGCAGAAAGATTTTCCAGTTAATATTAAACATGTGACATGGATGGCTGTGGTCTCTGTGCTTTTTTTTTTTTTTTAAAAGGTTTTAAGTGATATTACATTGATTTTTGGATTCAGAGGAAAGCACAAACTGGCATGTTTGTCACATAATAAATCGCCAAAGAAATAAGAACTAGATTAATAATAAAACAAACCTGTTAATGTTAGGACAATTTATCCTAAGTTAATGTTAGGACAATTTATATGGGAGAATAAACTGGGCAGCACAGTTGTGGCTTTAGGATAAGGATTTTAGTCAGTTTTGTCAAGATGACCCTGACTCTTTTAAGAGTCATCCAGTCAGGCAGGTTGCTCAGGGCCCTAGACTGATATGGAGTCAAGCTTTACTATGAAGTAACGATGCAGATAGAACCTTGTTACTATAGTTATTCCAGAGGCAAGTGAGGTCTTACACCAAATTCTTGCAATATATGACTTCTATAGGTTCCAAAAAATGCTAACCACTTAATCAAAGCACTTCCAGGAAGTCTGTTACCTTCTTGTGGTAAACGTAGAATAGAACATTTTGTATCATAGTCTCAGTGAAAACTGGTATGCTCTTTTGGAAGACTTGTGGTGCTAACTTTCAGGAGACACAATTGTTAAGTAATGCCTCCCTAGGCCCCAAATCACAGCACTAGACACTTATGCTGAGGAGGAGAGTTTAAAAGTAGAGAACGATGTGTGCAAGCAGCTGTATCTGTAGCAGAGTGGTGGAAGTAGCCTGAAGGAGGCCATTACAGATTTACCCTATGGAACTCTGCAACTATTAATGATGACAATTAAGAAGATGGTGATAGATAAGCTTATAGCACAAGTGAGAAGGGTCGGATAAAATGTGTGTAGGAATGTGAGTGTGTGTCACACACAGTCACACCACACACATTGTATAAAAATGATGGGTTAGAAGGGAACTCCGTGTCCTGTTGATATGGTGGCATGGCTTTTTAGGAGCAGCTTCTGGCTTATCACAAAAAATTCTTCCTCTGTAAGAATCAACAGGATAGCTATGCCCAGTGGCCTCCAGTGTGCTTCTTGCTGCATTAACAGCAGTATTTCCCAAAGGCTTGATTCAGTCCATTTCAACTCTTGTTAGTCTTTCACAGAGTATTTCAGCAGCTCCCATCCTCTATGCACCCATCTGCATATTTCCTCAGGAATACAGCTGCAACCAGTTAATCAAACACAAAGTCCCCTGGAGGGAAATATCAAACAAGGTGTGTGGATGTTCGAATGTACATCCAAGCAGCACAGCTTCATAACCGTGCACCAATTACGAAGAGATTCTTTCTCAACTTCAAACCCGCAGGCAGACAAACTAGTTTTTATGTAACAAGATTGATGGGAGGACACTTACAAGTACACATCCAGTTCTTTGTCCCAAACTGTGAGTTTGCAAGTATGTAAAGGGGTGAGAGTGGACTTGTTGATGGTGTTTGGAGTTCAGCGAGAACTGCAGACTTCTCCTCTCCCTTCTCCTTCCCTCACTTCTTTTCTTCTCTCCTTCTCTCCCCCTTTTCTTTTTCTTTTGACTCTCTCCTTCCCCTGTCAGCCTCCATTTCCTCTTCATTGTCACTGCTGTTTTCCTCCTCACTTCCCTTTCCTTCCCCATCGTCCTCTCCATCTTTTGAGACAGGGTCTAATGTCTAAGGCAGCCCAGGCTTGCCTTGAACTTCCTGTGTCCTGGAGGTTGATCTTTGATTTCTGACCCGTCTGCTCTCACTTACAAAGTGCTGGGATTACAGGTGAGCTGTCACACTATTTAAAACACTTTTTTTTTGTTCATACAGGACTGGCTTTACAATTGATGTCATCCATGAGAAGTAGTTTTTGAAAGTAAGCTTGTGTGGGCTTTCTTTGCTGCATCTAATTCAGGTTCTCTTCAATTTCCCCCACCAAAAAGTGTGCCATTGTCGGAATCATATACTTGGGTGACTTTTCAGTTGGTCCTGTCACACAATAAACTGCTTTTCAGTTTAATTCTCCATGCTATAATTTCACAAAGCTGGACCCAAGGTGGAGTGGTGTGCTGTTAATGTCTATAGCTCTTAATGTGATGCAAAAACCCTACGTATCATCAAGCAAGGATGTTGACATACATGTCTTTAATCTAGAGGTATAATAGGCAGCAAGAGCCAATTTTTAATTCAACAAAAAAAAAATCATGAAAACAAACATTTATCATGGTGGTTAAGCATTTTCTATCAGCGTGAAATTTCTTCTGCAATGTGTAAAATGAACTATGGAATAGTGTCAGATGACACAGAAAAACCGGGGTGCAGTGGCACTTATTTTTGTTATTGTCTCTGCATGCAGAATGATTTTTTCCCCTTTCATACACTGGAAAGCACGGAGGTTCTATTGCTTCCATATGAAATAAATAATAAAATGTGTGCTGATGTGCAAAGGTTCTCCTGTGGTGTGTGTCTGGACCACATGGGACAGAACCTCTGCTGTATTTCTAAAGAGATCTTTTTGGGGACTCCCTCCATTATGTCAGAGTCCTTCTGGCAGCAAGTGAGTGGTTATCTCCCCTGTGCAACTCTGCTGCGCCACGCTTGCTTATGAGAGATGCCCAGACAATGACTGGACAGGAATTCTTTGATTTCATTATTTTAGGTTTGTACTTAAAAAGTAAAAATGCTTTTTTAAATGGCTAAATTGTTACTTTCATTTAAAAGTTTTAGTATAGAGGATCTGTTTAAATGTTCTGTTAAAACACATCAAACTAGTGCGAAATGTATGCCTGCCACGCTAAGATCTGCCATGTTCTTGGGACTGGGCTAAGTGCTAGAGGCCTGATAACATTAAGAAATACTTTATCTTCAGAAAATGGAAAGCTATTGTGGCTCTTCCATTTCTATCCTACATTAAAGAAATTTTCCTCTCTCAGCTTAGCAAGCGGTTTTTAAAAAAGAGTATCCTAGCCTCTTATTTCTCTCTCCCAGCATCACATTTCTGCAGGCACTCACTGTGTCTGGAAAGTGAATCGTGTAAACACAGCACTGCTTTGAATCCACAGGTTTGCAGACTGAAGGCAGGTAGGGATGGTAGTTTTTTTCTGAGAGGTGAAAAAGCTAAAGGGGAAGAGTAACTGGGTGAAATTAGACTTATCCTGGTTTTCAGGTTATTTGGGATACTACAGTTTAGAGAAGGAAAATCTATGGTTAGCAAGGCAGCAAATACAAAAGCAGAATTTTATTGAGTGATTTTTTTGTTTGTTTGTTTGTTTTGTAACCTTAGAGTCATAAGTCAAGTAGGAATGTGTAAATGACAATTAAACATTTTGAACAACCCTAGTTAGCATGTGGAAATGACTGTGCACATTGCATACACATGTTGTGTATGCATACACAGGTACTTGACCTGTTTTGAAGGAGTATACTTTCAACAGGTTTGCAGACTTGGATTCTGTACCCCTATTACAAGAAATTGCTGTTAGCTTTCAAATTGCAAGTGTTATCTATCATTTCATTAGCAGCTAGAGGTGAAGTACACATAACAGCTTATTTAGCCATGACTCACCCATCAAACTTCTTATCATTTGAATCTCTTGATAAAAAACTGTGTAGTAATTACAGCCAACACAGCATTCTCACTTAAACTCTTTGCAGTGTGAATGGTTAGTATGGGTGTGAAGGCATTAGTACTTTATGTGTGAAAGGAAGGCAGGCACAATTATTATGTTCAACTTTATGGATGATACAGAATAATAGATTAGGTTACACTCTCTATCAGATATAACTTCGCACAGAAGAAAAAATTAGAAAAAAAAAACCAAAAAAACAATATCCCTATGTTGAACACATTCAGTATATTAGCTACAAGACCTTTGAGTTAATTGTCTCTCAGAGGTCCTTACTTATTCCTAGGGATCCACAGAGTACTGGAAAAACTAACTCCAATTAGACTGCATCATCAGTTAAGCCAAACATATGATTAAATCCCTGGACCACAGCAAATAGCTGTGGGGAAACATAGCAGGTCTGGGTATTTACTTGAGTCATCAAGACCAAAGTGCCTCTGGGGGAGAAGTGCCCCTGAGGCTGTGCTCTTTGTCACAAGTAAGGAGGTTACCCTCATAGGACTTGGCATCAAGTGGAGTGCTGGATTGGAGGTGGGAGTATGGTGCCTTATTCTGGCTCTCCACTAAGCCTGAGTTCTGTGAGCCAGTGCTTTGTTGCCTATGTTATTTGAAGCTGAATAGCCTTCACTTGCAATTCAAAAGCACACTGATAGACATGCTCACATATATACTAGGTGACACCATTGACAGCATCTAAGATAAGAGATTTAGATGGAAGGCAGCTAATGGAACTGGATGTTCATTTGCCTATAAGCAATGCATTAGCTTAGTTAGGCAACATTTTCAGTTTCTGCCCATTTGATTGCTGTGAGGCAATTAACTTTATTACTTCCCTGAATTCAAAGTGACCCTTGGCCAATTCTCATCCACATATCCTTTACAAACCTGCAGAATTAGAGTATAATACTTAACAGGGAAACTATCCTAAGATTCAGGCACCATAGGTAGTAGCTGAACTTCTGTTTTAGGAATGGCATTTTCCTCTCTACTTAAAAAGAAGCCTACATATATCATTTTCAATCTCATTAGTTACTAAAAATAGCTGAACTAAGAAGGGACACATTTTCTGACCCTAGAGTTGCAATTTGTTATAATCCAGCCATCTTGGAATAGAGTTCTCCTTTGAAATTGATACTAGCTCTCCATAGAATAAACTGGCATATAGAAGCAACTTCAAACATTGACTAAATGTTCCCTGTGGTGGTCCTGAGCTGAAATGGATAGCTTTCTTTCTGAAAAAGAGACTCAGCCAGGTTGAAGAGGGGAGTGGAGCCTTCTTGGTCTGTCTCTGTGAGTGGGAACTTGTGCCTTCCAAGTTGTTACAGAAGAGATGCCATGCATGGCATGACCGGGCTTAGACTGGATTCACAGCAGATTATCTGTTATCTTCACCTTGGAAGGCATGCTTCTGAATGTCACATGCTTTGACAAAAATACCTTTGTTCTCTCTGAGCGTATGCCTTTC